CCCTGTGCCTCTACCCACAAGAACTGGGGATCCCTTGAAGGTCAGGGGGCAGCTGGAGATGCTATACCAACCTGCAGCCCCTCTCCTGCTGTGGTCAATGAAGGGACCTTGCACACCCAGAGGTCAGAGCCCCCGGAGATGGGCACTGAGCAAACTCAGGGGGGATGGGACCTGTGCGGGACACTGGATTTCCCAGGTCTCAGGCAGGGGTGGGACAGCTGTGCTGGGGGACAGGGAGCGGGGAGGAGAGTGTAGAGCTGGCTGGGCCTGGGGGGAGATCCCTGAATGTACTCACTGTAGCACGGAGCCGAGCACAGGGACTGTACACGGCCAGCTGCCGGTGTGGCTTGTGGCGCTCCCCGAAGGAGATGGTCATGGCCACGAGGGCGGCGTAGCTGTGCTGCTGGCAGAAGGTGGGCAGGTCGTGCTGGAGGCCAGGCCGCTGCAGGAACTCCTGGACAAGGGCAGGCCAAGGGTCAGGGCTAGGTCAGGCCCCACCACCCTTTCCCAACCACTGGGACCTGACCCCAAGCATCCAGCTGCCTCTGGAAGGGGGACTTTGCCTCTAAACCCACTGGGCCTTGTGAGGTGGAGCAAAGCTGCACCTGAGCTTGCCCCCTGTGCCTCAGTTTCCCCTGCTTGTTCACTTCGGACATTACCACTGCTTCCCCTCCTGGCCTTGTGGTGGGAAAGAGGTGACACAGCCTGGACCAGGAAGCCAGGCATTCAGCAACACATTCAAAGGACCCCCCTCCCCTCACCCCCAGCCCTGCTGGAAATGTAGAGACACGCGGAGCTGTATGTCCAGATCCATCGCTGCCCTGTGCCTCAGTTTCCCTATGGGGCTTTACTTACCTCCAAGGTCATGTACACAGCACTGATGGCCACGATGAGCTGGTCGCCCGACAGCACCTTGAGGTCTTTCTGCAGCACCTGCTCCGTCGTGAGGCCTGGGGGTGTGAGAATGGGGAAAATGTACCATGGGGGCTCTGGCCAGATAGGAGCCATGGCACCCTGCCTGTCTTAGACCTGGCTCAGACCAGTCGGATCCATGTCAGGGCTCGCTGGGGTAGAAACACAAACTTGGCCCCAGGTTGTCACCAGGTCTAGTGCAGGGTGGGCACGGGACACATGGGGTGAGCAAAAAGGAGGCTGGCAGGCAGGGACACACAGCGGAGATGAGGCGTCCCCAGGGCTGGCCCAGCCCCTTCTTTGAGGTCAAAGCAGCCCAGGGATTTTCAGTCAGGTGCAAACACATCCCAGGGTCTCCCAGGATCCTTTTAAGGGTGCCACAAAACACTAGGCAAACTCGTACACAATTCACAGGCTGAACCCAGAGATTCCCCACCCCTTCTTCCCCGTTCTGGGAGGGCCGACTTTTCTGCCATGGAAGAATCGCCCTAGGCCTAGGATTTTTCTGTATCCAGGAAACAAGTGAAAGTGAAGAGCTGAGATTTTCCAAGAGGGGCTCGAAGCCTGGTCAGGCCGCGATCCGTGGCCTTAGGAATGTATCCTGGCATCGGCTCCCGGCTTCCCCAGGCCTGCTCTTCACTCCGTCTGCTGGTATGGAGCATGCAAAAGCAGCGGATGAGGTCAGGTTATGCCATAAGTCACAAAGCTGGAGTCTAAACAGGGGCTGCACCCAGGCCCTCTTGCCTCAGTTTCCTCACTCATTCCTTGCCCCCTGCTTCCCCACCCCCGAGCTGCCCCCGTCTCCCTCCTGCTGCAGCTGGGACAATGACCCCCCACTCCCTGCGTACCCGTGACATCAAACTTAGCCTTCTGCAGCATCTCAAAGATGATGTCTCGTGCTGGCAGGTCTGGGAACCTCGCCTCCAGCAGGGCCACATACTGGGTGTCCTTCGGGGTGACCTTCCTGGCTTCTGGGGCCAGGTTGACGCAGTCCAGAAGGATGGTACCTGCAGGCAAAGGGGGCCATGAGTGTGGCAGGGGGAGCCTGAGACCCCCGTGCCTGGCACACACCAGCTGGTGACAGAGGCATGATGTCTATGAACAGGGATCTCTGTTCTTTCCCCACAGCCCAAACCTGCCCCCCTGGAATGGGTGCCACCCTCACCATGTAGCAATGCAGCTGTCTGTCTGTCCAGCAGCTCCGGCGGCCCCTCCATCACCCGCTCTGCCACCAGGGTGGTGCAGGAGCCCACGGGCTCCACCGTGACCCGGCGCCGAGGGCCCCAGTCCCGCTCCAGGGGCCGATGGTCAATAACTTCGATCACGGTTTCCTCCAGTGCAGCATCGCCACTGGGTACGGGGAGGGGAGGAGGTGAGCTGCAGAGCTGGGGGAGGGGCACCTCCCAGTGGCATCAGCCCACCTGGACCCCAAAATTTAAGGGACCTTGAAGTTACCCCAGGAACAGGCCCCACTAGTTGGGGAAAGCCTTGCTCCCAAGGCTGGTTCCACATCACTGACCCCAGCCTGGGGCATCACCCGCTGCCCCGATCCCGGTTTCTGCCCTCCCATGGGAAGGGGCCTTATGGCCTCACTACACAGATGGGGGAAAGCCAGGGAAGAGGACAAGGCATGGGGCCCTGACAATGCCCCAGGGATCCCCCCACAGCTGGAGAGAAGCTGCCACTGGTGCCTAGCCCCCCACCCCCCATCAACCCAAGCCCCTGAAGCCACAGGCCCTGGGGCTCAGGCCCCGCCAGCAGCAAGGGACATGCCCAGGGCTCCCTGGGAGGTCAGTGGCAGAGGCAGGAGTGAACCCCAGGTTCCCCCTACCCTCTGGGACTTGCCTGGGCAGGATGTGGTGGTCGACGAGGGTGAGGGTGAGGAGGCCCGCACGGTGCAGTGCCGCCAGGTCGATCTCGTCCCGGAAGATGAGGCAGCCATCAGGGATGCCCTGCTCCCGCAGCAGGAAAATGCTTTCCGAGCGCAGCGGGAACTCGGTCCGTGGGATGTTCAGCACTGGCACTATGGCTGCCCGGGCCCCAGCCGCTGTCTGTGGGGGATGGAAGGGGTGATGAGAGGCACCATGAGGACACTGACCCCCGCCCCCCCCACTCCTGCTGGAGGAGGAGGGTTGTGGGCACCAAGACACTCACCTGCGCCAGGTAGTAGGCCAAGGTGAGGGCTGACACCATTGAGTCCAGGTCGCAGGCTTCGTTCCCCAGCACCACGTGGACTTCCTGGTGGTGCTGCACATGGTCCTACCGGGAGAGAAAGGGGTTAACCAGGCATGGCACCACTGCCCCTGGGTTAGGCCACAGCCACCCTCTTCCCCCCTGCTGTGATATCCCGCCCTGCATTGCTGAGGGGCTACCACCCCATCTCTCTGCAGCAGGCCTGACCTGGGTCTGTCAGCTTCCAGCCCTATTCAGCACTGGAGGTGCCAGGCCAGATGGGAGCCAGGCCACGGTGACTGAGCCCACCCCAGAGGCCACGGGCTCGCCTAGTAGCAGCACTACACAATGGTCAGAGCAAAACCTGCCCCAGGCTCTAACTCTGGCTCTCGGAGATCAGAGCAGGGTCGTGGGAACAAGGACTCCTCCTGGGTTCCTCCTGCAGCTCTGGGGAGGGGAGCGAAGCCCACGGTCCTGCCCGGGGAGGGCCGGATGTCCGAATGCCTGGGTCCCAGAGGCAGCTCTGTGCCCGTCCTACAGGGCAGGCATCACCAGCACCTTGGCCCTGTACTTACAGGAGGGCGCTGGGCTGGTAGCAGGCTGCTCCAGGGCAGCCACGGGCTGGGAGAACAGGGGAAGCCCCTCACACTCCCCGTGCCAAGGGGAAGGTATCCGGCCACCTATGACAAAGCAGAGGTAGGCAGATCTCAGCCCCATGCCCTGTATCCGTCAGCTGGTGAGTGGGCACTGACTGAGACCCCACAGGCTCTTGCTTCCAGGCTGGACCCAAAGGGACGCTGCAGGGCCAGATCCTGCCCGAGCTCAGTGGGGTGATGCCAGATCCCCCAGCAGAGCTCTGATCAGCACGTGCCTTGGTGCCCAGAAAGCCCAGCCTGGAGCCAGACCAGAGATGAAACAAGCCAGGCCCCCCACAGCAAACCCCCCCGCCCCTCCATGCTGGAAGGCAGCAGGGGTTTCCTGGTTACGGCCAGGGGAACAGATGGGCGCTCGGTGCTGCCCAGGCTGATGCCAGAGATAAAAGCTGCCACGTCGGTGATGGATGGAGGCAGTGTTAGAAGCCAGGGGCGACGGTGCAGAACAGCAGCACGTGGAACCTAAATCACCTGGGAGAAGCTGCAGCCCTGGGTTCACCATACCTGTTTCCCCTCCACCCTCCTTACAGGACAGGGCTGGGAGGAGACATATTCAAGCTGGTGAGGCTCAGACTGGTATGACCTGGGATCTGAGAGGCTGGGGGCTGAAGATTAGGGACCTACTGAATGCACTGGGGGGAAAGCATTAGCTTCTGGAGGACTGGCAATAGAAAATGCCAACCCGGCCAGGCTGAGAGGGGAAGTTGGGGACACAAGTCAGCCATGTGAATGGGCCCCAGGGCTGCATCTTGTGAGCACCGGTCACCCCTGCACAGGCACAGGGAAGGGGAACTCAGGCTGGGGCTTGCAACACAACTCGCTCCCCAGAGGAGGGGAAAGCTGGAAGCTTCGTTAGCCCAGGACATGGGGGCCTACACTGCCCCGAGCCAGAGACGTGTCATTGCCCCGTGCCGCAGCCAGCCGATCGGCACTCTTTAGGGGAGAAACACCATTAAATCTCCTAGCAGACGAGACCCATCGGCACCCCAAAATTCCCACCACTTCTGCCCCAAAATCTCCATCCTGGCATTCCCGAAGGGTGCCCATTTCTACAGCACGCCCCCTACCCGGCTAGCACAGCTCCACATGCTCTTATTCACTTGTTTGAATCCAAGGAGGAAGGGAAAATGCTTTTCCAGATGCAGAGACGGAGAGGAGAGGAGAATTCAGGCCTTGAGACAGAAGCCGGCTTGCGGGGGCTGCTCACAGAGCTGCTTGCTCCGGCTGGCAAGTGAAGACTGGATTTATCGGCACGTTTCAGGGTTGGGGAAGGTTGGGGAAGGTATCAGGTCCCCCCACATCTCTCCGGCAAGGAACAGGTAGTCCTCCATGGGCATCCCCACCCCGCACTAAGACTCCAGAGCCAGCAGCCCTCAAGCATACCAACTAAAACAGAGGCAAGCGGCTTAGGGCATAGCCTGGCCTGACTAACTCCTGCTACCTAAACTGACCAAGCAAAGAGCTTTGAAAGACAGAAGCTGATGCCAGGATAAACTCTTAAGCCAGGGGTTCAAAGCTCATCGGACTCCAGCTCCGCATGGAAAACCCCAGCTTTTTGCTCTCCCTCCTTTCTGGACTAGATTGAAAAAAAAATGCTGAAGTCATTGTGTCGCAAAAAGACTCAGCCAGCCCAGAGCCAGGCAGGATGCCTGGGACAACTGCAGGGTCCTGTGGGCAAGCCCCAGGTGCATGCTGTGAATTGCACACAGGTGCAATATAACGGTGCTCATACTGTGAGCCCCTATGAGGATCTTGTGGCAGCTGGGCTGAGAATCACTGACTTAAGGGCAGCCCCTTACAAATTTCTTCTTGGTGCTCTATGAAGCCAATTTCCCCCTCTGCAAAGGGTTAACATGCTAGCACGGCCCTTCCCCTGCACTTCTGAGACAGGGAAACTGAGGCAGAGGTTAAGTGATTTCCCCAGGGTCATGCAAGGAAGCAGCAGGAAGGCTTGGACTAGGGTTGAGTCTCTGGCCCCACTGAAAAGCTATTGGCAGAGGGCATTTAACTCCTGGGCCGATCACCCATGTGTGATGCAACCACTGGCTTCCAGGGGAACTTGGAGATTCACATCCGTGCCCTATCTCATCTCCTGATGCAAGGCAGCAAAGCTCCAGCCCGTCCCCTCCATCCGTCCTGGGAACTCACTGTCACAGTAGAGACTGCACAGCATCAGGGAACATTAGGGCCTGAAGGGACCTCAGGATCTAGGTCAGGGGTGGGCAACTATTTGGAGCAGAGGGCTGCTTACTGAGTTTTGGCAAGCCATCGAGGGCCGCATGGCAGGCACCCTGGGGCAAATAAATATACATTTTCTAAATTTTTTAGGGGCCCTGCGGGCTGGATAGAATGCCCAGTGGGCCGCATTTTGCCCACCCCAATCTAGGTCAAAGCAGGACCAGCCCCAACTACATCGTTCCAGCCAAGACTTTGTCTACCTGGGGCTTAAACATCTCCAAGGAAGCTCCAGTGCTTCACCACCCTCCTAGTGAGAAAGTTTTTCCAAATATCCAACCTCAACTTTCCTGTCTGCAACTGGAGCCCATTGCTCCTCGTCTGTCATCTGTCACCGCTGAGACCAATCCAGCTCCATCCTCTTTGCAACCCCCCTGCAGGGAGTTGAAAGCTGCTATTAAATCTCCCCTCAGTTTTCTCTTCTCCAGACTAAATAAGCCCAGTGCCCCCAGCCTCTCCTCACTAGTCCTGTCTCCCAACCCTCAAATCATTTTTGTTGTCCTCCGCTGGACTCTCCAATTTGTCCACATACTTTCTGTAGTAGGGGGCCCAAAACTGGCCACAGGACTCCAGATGTGACCTCCCCAGTGCTGAATGGAGGGGAATAATTATTTCCCTCAATCTGCTGGCATCACTCCTACCAACGCAGCCCAGGATGCCGTTAGCCTTCTCGGCAACAAGAGTACTGGTTCATATTCAGCTTCATATTCAAGGGCACACTGCTGGTTCATATTCAGCTTCTTGTCCACTGTCACCTCCAGGTCCTTTTCTGCAGAGCTGCTGCCCAGCCAGTGGGTCCCCAGCCTGCACACGTGCATGAGATTGCTCCGTCCTGAGTGCAGGACTTTGCACCTGTCCTTGAACTTCGGGAGATTTCTTTTAGCTCAATCCTCCAAAAGAAACATCTAAAGCAATCGCCTACATTGCGACCAGGATGCTGCTGCTCTTCAAGAGACTGGGTCATCTTTGCTTCCACGTTTCAGCTTGATTCGTACCCCCCCCAGCCAGAGCCAAAGGTGACAACCAAGAAGCTCCTTCGATGGACTCGTGTCAGCGTCTGCAGGAGCCGGGGGCTGAAGGCACGGACCTATATACCACATATCCCCTTTCCCCGAGGAGAGGTCTACAGGCAGACACGGCTGGGGAGAAGGAGACGCCAATGACAAAGGCAACAGATTCTCTGTAGCCACGGGCGAGGGGAGAAACATGCCATTTCCATCTCATCTGCCCCACGCCAGCCTTGGGAGTCTCGGCGTCCACAACTCCAGCCCCAGGTCGAAGCTGGGCCCACCAGTAAAGGGCGGGGTAAAGCGCTGGCAATACCCGGCTGCTCCCAGAAAAAGCCCAGTTCAGTGGCAGCATCTCGGCAGCCGGCAGGGAAAGAAGCTGCCTGGCTCTGCCCGCCGTGCCCGTCGCCCCCAGCCCTTCCCCACCCATGTCACCAACGGGGCAATGATGACCTGGTCTGAAGTCCAAAGCCTCAGGCCGGGCTCCGTCATCCAGGGTGGGCAGGGGGGCTTGTACACCCATGTGCACAGTGTGGGGCAGTGGGTGAGAGCATGCGTGTGCAAGGCGGGAGAATGTGTACATGTACATGTGCAAGGGGGTTGAGGAGTTGTGTGCAGGTGGCTGGGGGGGTATCTGCGTGCATGGGGAATGAGCACGGAGACGGAGGATGCCTGCACGAGGAGTTGCGCACACGCGCGTGCAGGGGGCTCGGGGTCGTGCACAGAGGCCGGTCACGGCTGTGCTGGGTGGTGCTGGCAGGGGCTGGGGGCGAGCTCCGGGGCCCGCTGATGCCCGACCC